TGAAGACCCTGTCCCGGCTTTGTGCCATGACCAACAATGGCGGTGGATGTGGCCATCATTGACCTTCCTGGAGGCATCGCTGCTTGCTCCCACACCCCTCCCGCATGGATCTGGACATCATGGCCTCTCTAGGGAAACCCTTGATCTTGTGTGATCGGACAATGGTGGCGCCTTGGTGTCATATTCCCTCTTGGGGCCTTCATCTTGGGAGCTTGACATCGGCGACCGGGACCGGTGGATGACGGTTGTGTGGCATCCTGGCTTCTGTGGCAACGATGATGACGGAAGCGATGTCGGCGACGCGACAATGGTTGCGGTAGTTGACTCTTCTCCAGCGTGTCCACGGGATTGCCTCAGTTTGTTTGTTTCTGTGAAGTCGAAGATGCGGTTGTGTCCCTTTTGCATACAATGACCGGCTGCATGTGGTCCGTTCAGTGTCTTCCGTGATGCTAACCATGCCTATTTGTCCTTTATAGCTCTTTTTTGGAGTTGTAGTTGTGCTGTCTAGTCGCAGGTGGCTGAGTTCTGGCGCAGATCTTCATATAACTCCACATGGCCTCTAAAGTGTGGATTGAGTCAACGATCGCCTATGGTGAAGTCGGATCCGTTTGCTTAGGGTTTAGGGATGGCGATGTTGTCTTCACCATAGAATGACATGGCAGGTCTATGATACAGGTTCCAAATTTATTGTTTCAGAGTGTATGGTAGGCAGGATATATGATGTATATTTAAGAGGAGCCCTAACTTTAGTTGTCCAAATAAATTATATTTCTTGAGGATTGAAATTAGATTTCATATCTTCAGTTGCTTTTTAACCGGGTCAATTTCCCTCTCCGTAGTGTTTACAGATATACCTTGTGTTTTTGCAGATTGTTGAAATGTCTACTTAATAGAGAATGATATTTGGATACATATAATAACTGAAGCACTGGGGGTCTTCTCTAAGGCTTGTGACCTGTTATGTCATCTTCATCTTTGTTGTTTTGTTCTCTCCTATGCATATTTTTTAATAGTGGGCTATCACTCTTGGCGGCAGATACCTCTAACGCTATAGGTCCTACTCCTTCTCCCCTCCGGACCTTCTCCGCTCGCGACCTCCTCCTCCCCTCGCGAGCCGCCGCGGCCAATAGATCGCGGCCGTCCCTCTCCTCCCCTACTCCCCTCCGTCGCCTCCTGCGCGGGCGACCGAGGGGCCCTAGCCCTAGCCGCCAGTCCTTCCCGCCTTCCTCTCTCCCCTCCTTCACCGCCAGTGGTCGACGCCGGGCAAAACCCATGTGTCCGACGGCGGCGGCGGAGGTACTGCCTCCCCTCTTGGGTCTATGGGTGGCGCGGGACACCTCATCTTGAGGGTGTGATCCCGATCTGGATCGTGGCGGCGCCGATCTGGACCATGGCGCCCAGATGGACAACGCTGGCATGGCGGCCGGCTGGCGTCCTAGTGGTGGCCTTGGCGGCATGGCTAGCACAGCCCTTTTCGATTTGGTGTGGAGGGCCCTGGATTAGGGGCAGCGGCCCCTGGGATGGCCTCCCTGTCGGTGGCACGGCGGGGCGAGAGGGCTGCCGAGGATCGGACCGGATGGCCGGAGATTCACCGGCGGGTTGGTGCCGCGGCTTGCTGCCCCGGTGGCCAATGGCGCCGAGCTGCTTTTTCCTCCAACCCATGTTGCGTGCACTCCGTCTTACCGAACATGGCCGCACTGGTAGCCGGTTACCGGGTTGAGACGGAGCGGGAGGGAGGGATTCAGATTGGGATAATTCCCAGGTCTCTTTATGCCGGTCGCGATGGCGACGACACTTGAGGGTGTCGTTTTTATTCTTGGAGACGCCGTTCGGATCCGCCCTACCTCTTCCCACCTCACGGTCTCTCGGGTGAAAACCCTAAGGCGGTGATGGCGTTCTTGGCGTCGTGCCTTTCTTGAAGGCATCGTCGTGAGAGCTATGTGGCAGTGGGCACCGCTTGGGTGCGTCGGCAGTTGTAGATTGCGTGCCCCTCTTCCTCCAGGTGGTAGCTGTTACAGGGGAAACCCTAGGTCTGGGACTCCCGGATCGGATGATGACGGAGACTTTGATGCCGTTCTCCCTCCTCGGGGCATCGTCTTGGAGCAGTGATTCACTAGAGAGGCCAACAGGTGGAGCGGTGTTACATCAACCGCATTGAAGACGGTGGGTCTCGGCGGCGTGGAGCAGTGGAGTCTCAGAGTTGGACGCGGTTTGATCGACGTGCGCAGGCTGGTGGAGTTGTCTGGTGTCGTGGTGACGTCGTCGGCGGATGAGACTGGCAAGATCTATGCAGTGGTTCCTCCTTAAGACGGGATGGTGGAAGATGGCGGTGGCGGATCCTTCAGCGTGCGCAGGCGGTGCATGTTATAGGACACCTAGACCAGATGGTATTAAGACCTCTGGGTTAGATTGTGTCTGTTATGCGGACAAGGCACACCTGTATTGGTGTAGGTGTAGTGACTTTGTTCGTCTAGAAGGGGGCTTCTGGTTGATCCTTGTATTAATTTTATGAGACTCTGATGGATAATTAATAAAGATGGCTGTGTGCATCATGGTGATCCAGAGACCGAGGGTATACACTATAGCGTGCTATTTAAACTTTACTTTTATCTGTTAGGAGCAAAGTCTCTACGCACAGGACCACTGTAAACACTACAGCTCAAAAACTCCAGACAAATCCTTTTGTCAATGTGATGATGCTTTCTTAGCCTTCCTGCGCATCTCGAGTCCAAGCAACATTGTCCCCAGGCAATCACATTCACGATTCAAATCTGTCAAGTATGAGGCATCTTAATGTTAACATGTTGAAATTTGCTCAGACACCATACATGTGCGGTGGCGTTGCTTCAGAGAAAACGTATTTGTGGATACCATCAGCAGATCAGCTCCAGTAGTGTCTCCTTAATACTTCTCCATGGATAATGTCCAATCGTAGATTGAAAGTCGTAGTCATTGTAAGGTAACTCCATCGCGGCGTTGAAGCTTAGGAGCTCAGTAAAACTGATATCTCCTTAAATCCATCCGAATTAAAAGTAAATACAAATGCTCAAAAGTAAAAGAAAAAACAATTCACCATCGGCAATTGCAAGGTCTCTTCAATCTCCACACGAAGTAAACAATTAACTCCTTTTCTGTTCTAGAATACAAGCAACTACTAACTCTGTTACATGTCGACAGATATATCCAAATCAATGAATCAGGATGCTGGACAAAATACACGCTTCATTAGGATTCAATCTCTGGTGCAGCTGACGTCTGAGATATATATCTTTGCTGTAGGCCTTTTGATGCTTAAGTGTCACCATAGCCAAAACTAACTAGCTAGGACATGCATGCTTTTGTTCTTCTCCTGCTATTCAGTGAAAAGGGTAAAACATTTTGGCCCATGTTTAATGTGCCGAATACCGAGCTCTGTCAGTTCAGTGAAGTGCTTTGCTGCTGGTCGTTTTACTGACCAGTCGTTTGCAGCAGAAAACCTTTTCTAGTACCCGTTGTCATTGAACAATTCATTTGTAAGGTTGTACCCTTGATCCCTAGAAGATACTATATCGATATACATCTTGTCCACATTTGTTTCATGCTCTTGTTGGGATGTAAGAACTTGTTGGGATTTGCTGCTGCGTCTGTCATGCAAGAAACACATGTCAAACATATTATGGTGATGCACTGTGTATTAGAATGATGGGTTGTACGTCCTGCATATTATATACAAGGAAGAAAACTTGGGTAAAATGGTACTCCCTCTGTAAACTAATATAAGAGCGTTTAGAATACTAAAATAGTGATCTAAACGCTCTTATATTAGTTTACAGAGGAAGTAAAAACTTTCAAAGTATAGAAACGTTCTTTTATTTGTTATTGTTTTCTTGAGCAACTTGCCTTAAAACAAAGTAAGGATTCCATAGGCTAACAGAGTAAAGTTCTGTCTAGTAATAATATTTTTTCAGAGTGAATAATTTTTGTTTGTTAGAGTAGCAATTAGCAGTGCTCAACATTCCCTGTAAACAATTTACAGTCTTCCACTCAAAAATTACAATTTAGAGTCTAAAACTAGTGGTGGATGCTGCTAAATGTAGGCATACGCTAGAGAAAACCACGACTGCTTATACTAATTCCATGGATATTGTCCAATCTTTGATTGGAAGTTATAGTCATATATAAGGTAACCCCGTGGCTGCGTTGAAGACATATGATCCAATTTCTCGAAGTTTATGTGTTGAGTAAAACTAATATCTCCTCAAATCCTTCTGAAATCAAAAGTAATGATGCTGAAAAGTAAACAAAAGAAATCACCATTATCGCAGGTACCTTCAATCTCCACACAAGGTAGCGATTAACTCTTTTTCGGTTCTAGAATATATACAAGCAACTACTAACTCTCTTACATGTCCACAAATATATCCAAATCCAAATCAACAAATCAGGATACTGTAGAAAATATACAATGCAGACCCCAAACACGCGTAGGTGTTGACTATTGGCTTAAACTAACACATAAATCATCTTCCTTTGCGACTAACACTATAAAGTGGAAAAAATTTCAAATGTCACGCCAGGATAACAAGGGGTCCATGAGAACTCCCGGTGTGGAGGCTGAAAGACACGCCAGGATTACGTGGCTGAAGGTGAGAAAACTATACCTGCGCACTCCGAGCCATCCTTCACTCTTCAACATCACTGAACAGAAGGTTCTTGCTAAAGCCCTCCAGCCTGCACGCCTGGTGGCAGTTATAAGCATACGAGGAGATAGATACCAAATAATGGACCATTTAGACTAAATTACATCACACTGAAAGCAGCAAATTGCTTATAAACAAGTAAGGGGAACACAAGTTACTAAAATACGTCCATGGATAACTGATGACACAACCAGAGACTAGCCTACCCGAGCTTTGGTTCATTGTTAAGACATGACATAGCTTAACTAGATAAGCATACCACATACATGGCACGCACAAACAGAAACTACACATCACTGAATTTTGGACCACTAGCAGCACCTAACTATATGCATCAGTGCTTGTGCTTTCTCCCACACTTAGACTTGACTTGAGAAGGTCAGACAACACCGCAGGGTAGCTTGCCGCCAGATACTTGTACCCCTCCGTCGCCAGCACAGCATCAAGAACCTCACGATTCCTAATGATGAACTGGACGCACTTCGCCTTGAGCTGTGGACAATTATGCTGCTCGGCTAGAGCCAGAGATGTCGCTGCCGTGTCAACACTGATGCCACCAGAGAGCTCGCTTTCACAGATCACCTTGAGCCTGTCCAGTCTGTACCTATCAGCAGCTGCAAGCAAGTGCTGAGCTAACACCATCACCTCCTTGCCCGTCTCATCGAATTCAGGCACAGTATCAGTGTAGATGAAGTGAAGTAGCGCCTTGAATACCGCAGCTTGCATGTCCTTGATCTCCACATGCCCCGCACACTTCTCCTTCATGTCTCCAAAGAACTCGGCCATGAAAACAGGAGATCTTGCAGCCAGTATGTTCTTATGAGCAGTAAAAGACTTGCCAGACACAAGAAAAGTGACATCTGCCCCCGTCTTGCTCTGCAGGAGTTCAGCGAGGTGTTGGTGCAAGTTTGAGCATGGCACTGGCACTTCTTTGATCGGGTCCGTTGCCGGCACTTCCTTGAGAACGTCAATGGTGCATTGCACAGTAAAAGAATTGCCCCTAATATAGCCTGATGATGCTAGCGAACTTCTATTGATCAAGACTTTAGTGATGCATTCTTTGGGACGGCGGAACACCCCCTGCTCATTAACTTCCATGGATGGCTCAAGCTTCCCCGTCGGATCGACCAACCGGCAGCCTAGAACGACCCTCACACTGGGCCTGCGAGCTTTTCTGAGAAAGGCACGCTTCACACTGGCCCTGCGGGGTTCGCTGAGAAAGGCAAGCTCCACTAGTACAGCGGAGCTCCAATCAGGATAAACACGGATTTCCCAATCGTATCCATCGAAGCTCCATCTGGATTTGATGTGACCGTCCTTGCCCACGCTCCACGTCAAGCTGAAGCCGTCGACCTTGACCAGCTGCACTGAGCGCACAAAACTGGTGACGGTTTTGGGGGCATTGTCCATGGCGAAGGCCGGACAGTGGATCTGCTCAGGTGGACAGTGGATTTGCCCAATTCAGCAAGCGACGAGCAAAAGCATTGGAACCAAGGAGGCAAAACGACGGCTCACCACGCCACTGGAGAAAACCCTAAGCGGGTGCCGACGGAGGTGGTGTCCAGGCGCCGGCGTGGTGGATCGACTGGCCTCCCGGCGTCCGATGAGGCGGATCCGGCCAGATTTGTCCCCCTCGACGAGCCGGACCTGCGCCTTCTCTCGTGCTCGTGGGGAGAGGATCCGGAGAGAGAGGAGAGAAGGTGGAGGCGGCGAGTGAGGAACAGTCTGAGGATCCGGAGTGGACTGGACCGGTTGGTATCGACGGTCGTTGGGAGACCTTGAAAAAAAAAGACATGTCCGCCCTGTTAAAATAATGCCCTGTTTGGTTCATAAGTCTTAGGACTTTTTTTAGCCTCAACTTATAAATTGTAAGGCCAACTTCACCGTGCGACCCCAAACGGACGTCCGGATTGGCCCGAATCCGTCCCTTTAGGGCGCCGATCGGTACGCCCGTGTCCGGCTGTGTCCATTGGGTCGTGCATGCGCCTACCGCACGGCCGCACCCCAAATCGTGTCCGAGGTGGGCGGGATTAAAAATAATAATTAAATAACTAAAAAAGAAAATAAACACATTTAAAAAAAACATAAAACATATATATGGGTTGGCCACAAAACGACCCAGTTTCAATGGTCACTTAAAAGGCCCAGATTCATAATTAACATAATAAGAAAATAAAAAAACTCCTCCCGCGTGCTCCTTCCGCGCCCGTCGGTGCCGTGGCCGTCGCCGTCTTCACTGGCCGCCGGTGTCGTCGTCGTCGCTGACGAGGTCGACGTACTCCGGCGGCGTCCAGAGGTGGGCCGGCGGTGCGTGGTGGACGGGGGCGGGCTGGACGGCCGGAGCTGCCTACACCACCTCCTCCCGCGGCGACGCCTCCCGCTCCGGAGTGGGGCACCAGTTCACGCCCAGGTCGGCGGCCATCTCCGGCACAGTGCACGACCAGCCCCACCCCTGGCCCAGGAGCTTCTCGAACGCAGGCGAGTCCTCCTCCATCGGCTCCTCCTTGGCGGCCGCCGTGACGGCCGCCAGCTGCAGCTCCGGGAAGGCGACGTCCCCGGCGGCAGAGAGGGCCATGGTCTCCTCCAGGCCGTCCCACTGCCGCTCGTCGTGCGTGTTCATGGAGTCGTCCATGACACGCTGCAGGAGACGGGCCTCCTCCTCCGCTATCATGCGAGGAGGGGGAGGGGGCGACGGAGACGGGGAAGGCGACGGCGTGGGCGTCAGGCCACGCACCCGCGTACGCCTGCGCGGCTCTGCACGTGGCCTCCGCGGCCCCGACACGGTGCCGGCGAAGTAGGACGCGCGCCGCACGTCGTGCTCGTCCTGGAGCCATGTGTTCCAGAGCGGCGAGTCGGGGGCATACCTGTGGTCGTAGTACAGGTCGTCGGGGAGGAGGCGGCAGCGGCGGTTCATCTCATCGCGCCGTGCACGGCCGGTCGCCGGCACTGGCGGGATGGGGACCCGGTCCGCGGAGAGGTGCCACCCATTGGGGAGGTGGGCGTCGCTCCACGGGACCGGCGTCCTCGTATCCCAGTACCTCCGGCACACGTCCGCGCAGATGTACTGCCGGTCGCGCTCGCCGGAGGGCCTAGGGGCAATGGTGAAGGGGGCCGGCGCGGGGGCTCGACGGGAGGAGTGCGGCGGTGGCGCGGGGGCCCGACGGGAGGAGCGCGGAGGAGACGCGGGCTCCTTCTTCACGAAGCCGCGGCGGTGCCCCGAGGAGGAGCCGGCCTCGCGGTCGTGCTTGCCCTTGCCGTTCCAGAAGCCCATGGCGAGGCGGGCGGCCGGCGAGCTCGAGGAGGAGTCGGGCTAGGGTTTCTGCGCTGTCGGGGTTTGAGGAGGCCGCTGGGTGGCGTGGGGCAATGTGGACGACGACCCGTCCACGCTTCCCACTTAAAGAAGGACGGCGACCGCTCGACGTGCGGATGACAGGTGGGGCCGCCCGCTCGTGCGCATTGATGTGGGTGGGTGGGAGGTGGGTGGCCGCCTGCCACGCGGCCCCGACGCGGACGAGCGCGCGTCCGTTTGGTGTCCGTCGTGACCCAAACCCGGCGCAAGTTTGCGCTCGAAATGAGTCGGCCCGGATATAAAACGGACAAGATGGGTTCGGGCCGTCGCGCGCTGGGCCGCCTCCTTTGTCCCTTTTACCCCAAACGGACGGGGCCGAACAGGATAGGGTCGCGCGGTGGAGTTGGCCTAAGTCCCTAAAAAGTCCCTACCTGTTTGGTTCCTCAGACTTATAAGTCTTTATAAGACCATATTACAACTATAAGTCCCTATAAGTCCCTCCTTGAGAGTCTTATTTCATAAGTCTCAAATGCCCACTTTAAGTCTCGATAAGTCCCTCCTGTTTGGTTTAGATGAGACTTATAGGAATTTTTTGAAGTCCCTAAATCAATAAGTCCCTGAAAACAAACACCCTCTAAGTCTTATTTTATGTGTGATGTAAAAAAAGTCTTTTTATGTGGAGATGCTCTTTTTTTTAGATTGATGACCCTAGCAGCGGCCAATTAAGTTTATTCCCCCATGCCGCCGCATCAGTTCTGGGTTTTATCAGTCCAAAGTTCAGGTTCAACACCTGTTGTCGCCATCCTGAGACTTCACCTTCCCGGTTAAAGCCTTGCCCTTGATCGATGGCCAGAGATCATCGCTATATCCTTCAAAGTGATTGTCATCTCGCCAAGGGGCAAGTGGAAAGAGAGCGTCTCCAGCCTCCAACAATCTGTAAGGGCGGTAATGGCCGTGGAGTTCATTCATGATGGTGTGCCTTGAAGTTGAGCACGGACTGGAGAAGATCCATTCTTCTGTAATATGGCTCGTATCGATGGTCATATTTGAGGGCTTTGCCAGGATTGTGACCCCTCAAACGAAGTAGTGGAGGAACCTAACACTCTTAGAAAAAGGACCTAATGTGAGACATATTAGTCCCGGTTTGATTTTGATCCGGTACTAATGGTACCATTAATGTCGGTTCGAACGGCTATGCATTAATGCCGGTTCGTGTTGAACCTTTAGTACCGGTTCGTGCCACGAACCGGTACTAAAGGGGTGGTGGCAGGCTGGCGTTAGGCCGGGGCCCACGATCACCTTTAGTACCGGTTCATGCAATGAACCGGGACTAAAGGGGTCTGACCTATAGTCCCGGTTGAACCGGCACTAAAGGGCCTTACGAACCGGTGCTATTACCCGGTTCTGCACTAGTGTAAAAAAGCAAATGAACAAGTAGTTACTTCTTTCAACTAGTAAACAATATCAAGAAATCCACAAATAATGATAATTACCTCCCCTCTTTCCACAAGCACCACACGGTGACTCTCTTCGTAAAAATCACTAAGGCCAGGATATTTATCTGGCTCAAACATCCTACATAATACATCATAGACTAGTTAACACCAATGCTTAAAACCTTGACAACATTATAAGATACTTTCTAGATCCACTTACATTCTACACTACAAGTTCTCTCACAAGAACCATGAGTACACAATATACATTTCAATAATTATATCTAAAGTCACTAGCATAATTGAGACCGAGAAAACGCATTCCATACACGATGCAAAAAGAAATTATCTCTTACTAAAATACTACACAATACCAACTACATTAACACAACAACTATGTATTGCCTCTCAACCAAACATATCCATAAGGAATACTAATTTGGACAATATATTCTTAGGATTCCACCTAATAGAAAAAAACAATCTCTAAATGAATACTATACAATACCTACTACATATCTCAAAAATATGTATTCCTTCATTACCAAACATATCAAAACAATCTATTCAAACAAATTAGGAAAATCTAGTCTTAGGGTTCCACCTAATACAAAATATGCAACCCAATAGGAAGATTTGACCGAAAAAATGGAGGAAAGGAAGGAGAATACCTCAAGCTAGTAGGGGAGGGTCAGATCCAAATTTTTTGATGGACAAAGTTGAGGATTTGAGAAGGGGGCGATGGAGGAGAGCGGGTGCCCCCCATTCTTGGTCGCGATGGGGAAGAGGAGAAGCGGGGCTCTGGCCAAACCGCGGCCCAGCGGCCACTTATGCCCGCTAAAATGCTATGGACAACGGTGTTGCTAGAAACACACTTGTATTTGGCATTTTCGCCTGCCACATAGGCGAGCATCACCAGCAAGGCCTAAAGATGGGCCATCCCGCAACGCCAAGGTTCATGGCGTTTCTATGTCCAATGGAAACGCCTCAGTCTTTGACGTTTCTAAAAGTGTCAAAATCATGAGGTCATTTTGTGCGCACACTTTCTGACAAGGACAGAACAGTGATTTTGGCCTCCACCGAAAACAGTGGGACCCTAAGACCTATGCACAACTATGACCAGAGACACACCTATTTCACTATAGATTGCGAAACGATTGCTCCATTACTTGATCACCGAGAGTAAGTCCAAACCATGAAAAGATGAAACATGAGAACTACTGGATCCATGGAGTTACGATGGCCACACCACGAAGGGGAGCCAGAATCCCTTTTCTATTTTCTATTGTTCTTGCATCCAATCTATTTCATTTTATATGAAACTAAAATATAGTTGAGAAACTAAAATATATAGGATTTCTCAAAATATGACACTCCCTCCATTTTTATATACAATGTCAGTTCATCTTTTTGTGTCAAAATTTGACTTATAGTTTTGGTCAAGAAAATATGGGTTCTATGTCATAAAAAATATATTATCAAAAAGTTTTTTCAAATGTGCATCCAATGGCGTACTTTTTATGGCATATAACTCACATTTTGTTGGTAAAATTAATGGTCAAAATTAGATATAAAATGTGAAGCCGTATTAATAGATGAAGGGAGTAGTTTATTCTGAGAGCACAGTAGGACCAAAAGGAGATATACGCCAGGAGTTCTCACAAAAAAGGAAAAAACCATCCAAG